TTGAAAGTTCCCAAAAAAAAAACTAAAAATAAAATAAATTTAAAATTTTATTTTATTTTCATCAAAGGCCGCGCATCAGCTCTATTATGTTGGCCAAAAAAAAAGATGTCTTCCGCCCGAGCCATAAGGCCCCATGGCTCTGACGGCAGCCGTGTACCAACATAATTTTGGGATGCGCAGCCTTTGATTTTCATATCATTTGATTTCACTAGAAGATTCAAAAATTTATTTATTTCACTCTAACTGAAAAATAGCAATTCATTTAGAAAATTTATTATACAATTTTCTCCCTACAACCATTGAATTCACCGCAGTCAAGCTTGGGTTTAACAAACTTAAGCCGCTTTTTGCTTGGTCTCATGGGTGCTACTTTTGTGTATATGCGTGTATGATAATTCATGGCGTGAAATTTGTCGCACCGAGACAGCGCAAGGAGCTTTCGTTCGCAAGCAAGATGAATGTCGCCAGATTATCGTCCGACACCAAGCGCCAAAAAAACCAAGGACCGGGTCAGATATTTCACACGAAGGCAAAAAATAGCCAAGAATGCTGTTGCGAAATCTGACAAAGCACCCTGCAAACACAGCAAAATATTTTGATGCTAAATGCAATTTTTCTTTAGGAACGATCGATGTTACTCTTATGTTGCTGGGCAAACGATTCTGGTCTACAGATGATTTTTTTTTCTCTATACTTGATACACATTGAAACATCCAACCTGAAAAGAACCAGGTGCGTTGGGGATTGTGCATGGAGTGATTTGTATTCAACGCTCTCTAATCTGTTTGCAACGACGTGTTTACCTTCTTGGCCTTTTTGTGTTGAAGAGATGCTCCCGTTTCCAAATCTGTTTTCCGCCTCGCACAATGCAACCAGCAACGTAAGGATGCCGCTTATCATTTCATATTTTCCCCTCAAATGCACACACCGTTCAGACGAACCTCATCATCTGCAAAGCTTTTGAATAGTTTATAGAAAAGAAATAAAATTGTGAAAGCATCAGGAAGATACAATTATTGCAAAGTAGCAGCGCCAGATGGTCCATGAAAATTGCAGCTTTGAAATTATTAAAATACTGCAAAGAAAAAAAAAGAAAGAATTTATAATATTATAATAAATGATAATATGCAGTTTAAAACTAATACTGGCTTTTTCATTATTTCTTAAATAAATAAGCAAGGTTGTATGCTCGATCATTGCCAATTTTGACTGAACACAATCTCACAAAAAGATCGTTTTTATTCGCTCACATACCAGAAACTGAAGTTTTTTGCTTACAATTATTGCAGCTCATTAGCAAACCTGGTCGAACAACGGACGAATAAATAAACAAGGCCCTTTCGCGGCGCAGAGACATAATGTCCCTTTTAGCGGCGAACAAGTTGCTACCGCTTTTTGGTTTCGCCGCCTGCTGCTGCAACATACGCGTTTTTCGGCTCCCTTTTCAAACAGCACTCGCGCATTATTCATTATTTATTTATTTTGTTTGTGCTGCGTGCCGAGAGCAGCAGAAGAAAAGCAGGGGCGCAATTTATGGCGAATGGAAATTTTGGCGAAACAATAATCGCACGGCGGCGGCGGCGGGGAGGCGGGCATGGTTGTATTCGCGCGCCGTGCGAATACAAATGAGTCGCAAACAATATGGAAATCGGTGGAACCGAAAACACAATAATGATTTAATCTCTGCACACACACAGCAGCTAGCAGGGTGAGTGGATGTACGCAAAAACGATAAGTTACCCGCGCGAGCCGACGAAAATGACCACCCAAGGAAAGTTGCTCGTCCGCTGCTGCTTTTTTCCTATACGAACAAAGTGCCCGAGAAGAGACCATAAAGCAGCTTTTACGGCCGCGCGCTTGTTATTTGAATTTTTATCTCTTTCGCCGGCCGGATTACTGCGCTGCTCTTTTGATTCATATCTGCCCGTGATCTGCATTGTTTGCGACTTCGTCGATTTTATGGCCCCCGCGCGAAAGAGAAGAGCGACCTCTTTGCTCCTTTCCGGGGCGACTTTAATCATTGTTTTTATTATCGCAATAGAGTAAGGTGCAGTTTTTGCCGGTCGAGCGCGTTTTGGCCTGCGAAATGCTGAAATGCACTCTTGGTGCTCAATAAAGGCAGCCATTTATCCCAAGCTACTATCTTTGATTTCAATTGACAACATCATTCTATATGTAATGGGAAAAATGGTTTAATAATAGTGTAATAATTACCAATACATTAGAACGGAAAAATTATATGATCGATAATAATTTACATACACAGAAAAATAGCACCAAAAAGCTCTAAAATTTTAGATCATAAATATTGACTACAAAAAAAAATGGCCTAGTTTATCAGGAGACTGACGTTTGAAATGAAAATTTAAGCTTGCTTCACTGGAAAATTAAAATTTGATTTCAGTGCCTTCACAATTTCAAGCTTGTTATAAATTTATAAAATGAGGAAATTTAAATAAAGAATTCATCTTTTCGCGTTGAAAATGCTGGTACATAAACTTGCAACTAAATGGTCATAAATTTGCTATTTGCTTAATGAGGTAAGATCAAGAATTTTAAATACTTGAAGAAATGGAGCTAGTTCATTTTTTTTTGCATTTTATGAAATTGAATTTAACCATTTTTTTTATGAAAAATTATTAAACCTAAATTTTACAAACATTATTGCGTTTTCATTTGCTGCTACTCCGAAAATGATACTTATTTATTTGCATCAGCTGAGTGTGAAATTATTTCTTTACAGCAGCCGTGAGCTACTTTAAATTTATACCTTATTATATAAATTAATTGCTTAGAGTGAACGTTACGTAATTTCTGAATAATTTCCAGTCCACATCAACAATAAAATCAGTGTTTGTCTGCACCAGAACAAAGATTTAAAAATTTCTAAAACTCGTGCACACGCTTTTTTATTTCCCTCTGGAAAAAGATCACAAACATGCATTAAAAGTCGCATGAAAAATGCAAACATCTGCGCCGACTTTTCATTCTTTCCATCCTTTTCCCTGCGCTTGCTACAGTAAAATGTCAAAGGCAGCTCTTGCAAAACTGCCACTTTCCCAGCGGCAGCACGCCGACGGCACACGAATTAGCGAACCGAGATGAGAGGGAATATTTTGCTACAAAGGTGTTTGTGTTCGTGCGCGTGTGGCGCAGAACAATATTTCCGTGGCCACAGAGCAGCGCATCAAAGGGCGAAACAAAGGCGGCGGGTAACCTCATCCCTAGACCGTACAGCAAAAGGGATACTTTCCCTGCCTGTGATCTTCATTAAGAACGCACCGAAATTCCTCGCATGCTGAATTTCGGATACACACGAAGAGGATCATTGCAAACGACAATGGCTGGAGAGAGATAATGACAGGGGCTTTGTGTATAAATGCGGCTCGCAGAGTGCATTATTCAGATTTATTTGGGCACGTCTGGGTAATTCTGACAAAGTGGTGATTATTATTTAGTACCACATTAGCGGAACTGTGAAATACGAGTGCTTTTCGCCAAAATGAATATAAATTTTTATCCTGTCAGTTTATTAAGGTTAAAAGTTTTTAAACTGATAAAAATGCCTTTTATTAATTAAGGAGATGAAAATTTAGAAGGAAACTACGTATTATGATTTTATGCTCTCTTGAAGACTTTTCTTAAAGAATAAAACTCGGCTCTTGTAGTTTTTTTTTCTTTTTAATTTTCCTGTCCATCAATCAACTAGTTGTTTTTCTGCTGTTTCGTATATAAAGCGGAGATCGAGTGTGTGCGGTGGAGATGAGTGCACTTGATAAACAGGAATTCTCAGCTTAATCCTCATCATTATTCTCGTCTCAAAATATCACTGGGCATCTCTCTCGAATCTCCAAAATTTAAAAGCTTTTTACGCAGGACAAGACAGGCTGCGCGAGAAGGAAAAAACCCTCAATCTCGCCGAGACCAACCCTTTTTGGTAAATATGAATTATTCAAATGACGTCGCGCTTTTTCCACGCTCCTCATCCTGGACGGGAGACAACGATATGTTTTGTTATTTTTGATCAAACGCGTTTCACGTGTAGTTACTTTTCTAAAAATGAAATATATAAAATTAAAAAAAAAATCTAACAAATTTATATTTAAATAAAATTCAATTTTTTTTTTTTTTTAATTCTTAGGAAAGCACTTGAATCTATAAAGCAGAAATTCCTATCTCTAATAGTCCAGGAGGAATTTCATGATTTTGTATGATGCGTGACCGATAATAAGTGAGCGTGCGTGATGCTCCTTTCTTCCTACTCAAATCATTTCCACCAACACAGTGCAAATCATACACACGAGCGGCGCCTTTTTTATTCCTTAGCGGCTGCTGCTGCTGCTGGACCGAAAAAATATGTTTATATGATCTGTCGGTCGGCCGAATATCTGTGATGTAATACGCTCATTTGAGCGATGGAACGCCATTGGAATGTAATGAAAAAGATCAAGAATGCGGCGCGGAATCTCATCACTTCTTGCCCCTTGCATGAGAATCAGTCCAGGCGGACGCATTTTTGCTGCTCATTCCAACAGAGCTTTGAACCCTGATAAGCCGGATTTTCTTTAAAAAAGCAGTATCGCAAAAGAGGTTAATTTTGAATATTAGTTTAATAAGGCCCCTTTTTAGAAACGCAGAAGGCGTTTCAGTATATTTTATAATTATTTTATTTTTCAATAAAAATATTGCAAATTTTGCAATAGATTAAAAACTTTATCGCACATAAGTTCCTTTTTGAAATGCCGACTCAAGTGCGATTATTTAAAACAGTGCGTTGCTGTTGCTTGAAATGTGTCCTTCAACGTGTCAAACAAAATATATAATCTAATCAAGTAATCAGTCCTAATCGCAGCCTACAAATTTCTGCATTCAATTATTCTAAAACATTGAAAGTGTATAAATTATAAGGAATATTTATACATATTTGTCATATTGTGTCAAAAAACATAAAGCAGTTGGTTTTATTTTAAGTGAAAATATTGGTAAATAAATTCAAAGTGTCTGTGAAATAATTTACTCTTCTTTATTATTAATTTACAAGAAAATGTCAATAAAGTCTTAAAACTAGTTTTATGTTGAAAGCATGAGCAGTTGACAATTGATCTGTTTAATTTGAAAAGTTCTAATAAAAATCTCATTTAAAACAACTTTGCAGTTTTTTAACCGATTTATCAATATAATTATATTTATGAAAAGTTTTTCCTGAGTACATTCACGGAAATCGTAATCTAACAAACAGAAGGTTTGACCTCGCAAATGAACTGATACTCATTTTCGCAAGGTGCATCATTCCAAAGGAGGGCACCATTAAAGCGGCGGTATTGAACGCAATGTTCGGGGATTCCGTGCAGAGTCACACCGCTCGGTTCTCCCGCGTGCCAAAAGGTTAAATTTACATCAGCAGAAAAATCCTCCAAACTTTGTCCCCAGTAGAAATTTCCTTCAGTGCCCAGGTCAGTTCCTCCAATCCAAACTCTGTCTGGGATCGAAGAGGCTAAATAATAAAAAAAATGCGTTCAAGTAAGAGGTGGAAAATTTAAACATTAAAATCACCATAAACGCTAGTTAAAAGCAAGTGCTCGTCTTCGGTGGTGACATCAGCCAAAGCGCAACCAATGCTCTTGCAAAAGTTGCTGGCATCAACCCATGAGGACTGCGCAAAATTATTAATGGTCAGAAATGGAAAAAATTGTTAAAATACAAAATTATATTTTCAATGCATAATATATGATGGATACTTACAATAAAGCTGCTCAGCAAATATTGACCATCGGCAAATGGTTGCAAGCCCAGTTCTGAAAACGTGTTGAAAATTAAATCAAAGAATTATTTAAAATTAGGGTTTGAAATAAATATTGTACCTGACAAGGTTTTTGGTTTAGCTGCGGCAACTGAGAAAATTGCAAGTAGGCAAAAGATCACCTTCATGATGAAGATTTCGTTAGACTTCTATCTTAATATTCAAGTAAGCTGGTTTCCATGGCGTGGTATCAATTTACTTATCTCTAAAGCAGATTTGATTAATTTTTTCAGCTAATGATAATGAAATCTGTGACGCAAACCCTGCAAATTTAGCAACACGTATACCTTTAACGACCAATTCTAAAATCTAATTGTCCCGAGCGTCTTCTTCGCGTGCCCCTTTCATGCATTAAACGTCAGACATTGCAGACACGTGCGCCCTAATCTAGGTGGAACAGACATTCCGACACGAGAGCAAACCAGCAGACTAGAGTGACTTACGTGATTCAATTGCCTGGCCGACGTGCCTCTGGCCAAATCTAACTTTTTTGCGTTTTAATTCTACTCGTTTGATATTCGACGCGTATCAGTTAATAAAATTCATGTTTTTTTTCCAAGCGACAGAAGAACAAAAGAAACAAACGGGCGAATCGAAATTCAGCTGCAGAAAAAGCGGACTAGAGAGATAAAATAGCTTGTGTGCTCTCGGCGGGTGATACATGGCAAAACTACTTTCTTATCCCTTTAAAGGGCACGTCAATAAATTTTATCGTGCCAAAACGGCGGGCGGAGAAAATAATGCGAAAGAAGTCGGAGAATGAGAAAAGCAGAGAAGAAATCCAATTCGGCCGCAACTTTTCTTATATACTTTACGGCCGCGCATCAATATGCTCCGAATGAAAAAGTGCCGAACAATGCCCGGAATTGAATTCGCCGCTCCGATATCGCACTTTTTGAATAATTTATTATACATCAGAAAGAGAGCAAGAAGGAAAATAACGCACCGTCGCTGCTGCTGGAGCAGCAGTTTTCCTTGGCAGGGCCTGTGGCGCCTTTTAGTCCGTTGATAAAGAGCGTTTAATTCGCTTTGAAAGGCGGCGGGGCATCGAAATAATGAAGAAATTTATTTTGAGAACTTTTTGCGATATGACATTGGCCGAGCCGTTCTCGGAATTTTCGCATGCGAGCACAGAGAGTGAAGAGCAAAAAGCCGGCGCGCTGGAATTCCGCTGGCTAATTCAATTGATTCCCAGCAGCCACACATCTGCGCGCTCGCGGGAAACAAAGTGCCTTTTGCGCTCCGGCATCCCGCATTGATACAATCGGCGGGTGGAGCACATCCATTTTTGTTTTAATCCTACAAGGGAAAGAATGATGCTCGCCTTACAGAGATTTTTTCATAAAGATTCACAGAATTACTTGTCAATCGTCCAAATTATCAAAACATTACGATATATATGCATCTCAACTCAAAATTTATTTGAAAAATTATTTAAAATAATTAATAATAATTAAGTAAAATAAACTGATTCAACATTTTTAATAAAAACTAGACATAGTACAAATAAAAAATATAATTTTATTTCCAATAAAATCTTAAAAATTTGAATACTAAAAAATACGTAAAACAAGTAGTTCATCAATGATTAATTGGTTTATAAGTTGTAAAATAAGAGAATAATTACTGAATGATTTTCAAATTATTTTCTTCTATCAATGCAATAATTTACTCTAAAAATGTCATATCACTTTTATTTTTTGTTTAGATTATTCAAAAGAAAAAGGGCAATATCTTTTCTCGTCGTTAGATCTAAATAATAAAATACACAGGAGGTGTATTTTTTTGCAACTTGAGGCAATCCTTGCAGATTTCCGAACGCGCATCAATCCCTGGGGAGCAGACAAAAACTTTATCGCTGCTGCTGGCGGAATGTGAAATGTTCTCCTCTGTGTGTTGCAATATAGTAAAATACACAGTGCATCCGCGAAAGCTAATGTTTAATTCATCCCTTCTCATAGAAAGCGCCGCGGAGGTTTGATTTTATTATCGCCCGGTGTGTGTTATCTCTTGGAAGCGCAATATGCGCACCGCACACTGTAATGGGAACGACCTTATTCGCGGTGCCGAGAGACGATGACTGAAAATAACAAGATAAAATCTCGTGCGCGCGGCAAGATGAAGATCTTTATGTCGATACCCGGTCTCTGAAGATCATTGCAAAAAGGTGCACCATCATTAGCTCTCGTGTGCACCGTTCAAACACATGGTGAGTTTATTCAGCGAGCATATATGATGTAGGTTCCGTTTTAACATATGTATTATATCCAGACACCAAATCATGACTCAGAAAACTTTTTTTTAAACTTTTGACATCTTCACATCATCACGGGAAAGGATTGAAAAAGCATGAAACAGAGAAGTGGAAGCTTGAGAGTCAGATAAAATTATGTAACCAATTTTCATTCCTATTGAATAACTTGCGCATTAAGTTTTAATGTGGCAAAATATCCAAAAATTTCTTAATATTATGTTTTACATTAATTTTTTTAAATATATCTAGAAAAAAGTATGCATACAATATTTTAAATCTGAATAAAGCTTCCTGAAAAGTGAAAACTGTCAGCATCTTCATCTTGAATTCTTTCCTCTACAAATTCAATATTGAACCAAAATGCCTCCTTGACAGCTGCCTTACAGAAAATCATGCATAAAATGCAATGTGCGGGACCCATCGATGGGCACGTTTTTAATATCAACGCGCACCCAGCATGCAAACCATCAAATGCAGCAGATGGTCTGAAAATTTCCCGCGATTTCGGGATTTCCTGTCACTGCAGCCCAGGCGGAACGTCCCTTTTCATTTTTGCACTTTATTTGCCTCAGAACGTGCTAGATTTCTGCTCTCATTGTCAGATCATATCATAAGGTATTGAGTTTTGAGTTACAATAGGAATTTTCTAGCATGATAAAATTCATGAGCAATGCCAAAATGTTCATCATCATGTATCTTCCTCTCGCGCGAAAAAAATTGATTAAAAATTGAAAGCAAACGGCACACGCAGAGTTTCTCCGACAAATTTGAATAATAACCGCGGCTACTGAATTAATCGTGAAGACAGGCAGCACATTTGACCATTCCTTATTTGAGTGTAACTCGCACGCAAGGTGAAATTTTTCTCAATACGAGGAAGTTCTGAAATTTGAATAATTTATTTATTTGTCTGGCGACGAGAGAAACCCTGCATTTGAATATTGCTGCGCTCGCGGCAACAATCAAGAGTGAATAAATAAATAAATTGCATCGAAGGAAATATTATTATTATTATGGTTGGTCCGACGCCGCTCACAAAACGACCTTTGCGTTCAGACGCACACACACCATCACGCATCAGCCCGCAGGACGCGGAATATAAATTAAATTTTATTGCATTTTATGGTTTGTTTGTTTGTTTGCTCGCGTCTGTTTGCACTGTCGACAGCGTTTAATTGATTCTTTGTTGCGAATCTCCTCCGCACGCGCGTTGTAAATTGGCCGTGTGGTGTATCACTCTGATTTTTGGCACCGCCAGCGGGCGAAACAAATTTGCTTGCAACAGCACATGGCGGTGACGGAAAAGGGCACAAAATTTTTTTGTATATCTGTGCCACAAACGACCTATAGCGCAGCTATAATACAAATGATAATTAAGGTGTCGCACAAAATTATCATATATGAGATTAAAAAAAATATACCGGGAAGGATCAATAAATTTAAAATGTAAATATCCAAATATAGCAATTCATGACAATATATAATTAAAGAAGATAAATATAATTTTTACCAATTTTAAACCTAATAAAATTATTATCTGTTAATTATGCAAGCATTTGATTTTAAAAATTTGTTAATTGTATATCAAACAAAAGAAAATTACAAGTAAGGGGGTTGCATATATTATACTGACTGAATTATGCATTGATTTTTCTATTGCGTATCATTGCTTGCGTATATTATTTCTATCGTTTAGGTGTATTCAATTATTATTCCACACCATATTTTAAGTAAAATGTTCTTTAAAATGGTAAAAATTAAGCATAATAGAGGTAACTAGCCTGAAAACTGACTTGATGTCCTCGGCGGTCGCGGCGGTCGCGGCGGTAAAATATTTGAATTAAATTTATTATGATTCAAGTACTTTGATGAGAACCATGGAGTACCTAGAATTCACCCTTATAGCACGAGAGCATTGCAATTAGGACCAGTAATTGAGCCTATAAAATAAAGTAAATATTTCAATTGTACGTCGGAATGTATATTACCACGTTTGTGGAATCTGTTGCCACTAGAGTTAAAAAACTTGCAGAACAAAATGATGTGGAATACAAATTAAAAAAATGGATGTTAAAACAAAATTGAACAAATTGTATGATGAACAAATTGAAAATAATATAGAGAACTGTCAAATGTCCTTGTAAGCACTAAAAAGCTTCTAATTTGAAGCAATTAGTCTGATAAGCACCAGAAAAATTCAATAACTTGCTCACCTAATACATCTGGAATTTTATTAAAAATTTTTTTTAAACAAAGTTAAATTTCTTTTAAGCAGTATTTATTTCTTAACAAAAGAGAAAATAAATTGCACTTGCAAAATACTCTCAAAATGCCACTTGATCGGGACAATAGGAAAAAAGTTGCAAGCTGGACAAAAAGCTCCAAAACTGGGTTTATTCCATCTAAACTTGTGTGAATGGAAACGTGATTGTGCGAGCGTACAATCGTCCAAAATTATATGCTATGCATTATCACTGGGTTGCGTGGTGTGCCCAGAGAAAGGACCCTCTTCAGAGCAATAATATTTGTATTTGTTGATTGCGTATATGCGCGTTTTGTTGAAAGTGTCGAGTAATCCACACTGCTGGGCCTTTATCAATTTGAATGGAGCCAGAAAGAAGAAATGGCTCTTTTCAACGGCTAAACACTCATGCCCAGACGACAATGGCGGCCAACAAAAGGCACCAACGTGTGAGAAGTAGAGAGAAAGGCTGCTGCTGCCGCGTGACGTTTGGTACGAATAGGAAAATGAAACAGCAAATTTTCTTGCAGGCGGAATTCCCTTTGAGATTTTTAAAATTTAAATGACCACTGGCTAATAAAATGCATAAATACAAATTAATTGCTCTCTTTTGCATTCGTTTTAAAGTCTCTTATAATAATAAATTTATGCAACTTTTCCAGATCAAAGGACTGAAATCTTTGCGAACCCAAGGTCAGGACAGTGGTGC